GCCTTTAATCAAGTGTTGGTCCATTTTTACCATCAAAAAGAATTCTGTTTAATTTTCTTTTTTAATAACATCAACACAAATGGAAGAAATAGGAAACATCATAGTAGGAACTCTTAACTGTACATGACATTGAACTATTACCTGGCTGGTGCTCAATATTTATAGACTCTGCATGGTATAGACCAGCCACACTAGTGTTATTCACCTCCAGGTCACTCAAGGTCTAGGCAAAGCAGCCTTCTGGCTACAGGTCATAACCCAGCCACCTCCACGAGGTCAAAATGCCCCTTGTACAGCTGGAATCGCACTCTTGTAGAAATACCTCTATATTTCATCTGTTACTAAAGAGCAAGAACTTTGTTCTCCAAACATACATATAGCCATTATAAATATTTACATCGAACATTTACAACTGGTTCATAATATACAACACAACAATTTAGCTATAATTTCTAATCCTCCAGTGTAAGACTTCCAAACACTGCCTTGCTACTGTAATTTCAGTTCAGCTGCTCTGCACAGTCACAGGTAGTACAGATCCTCCTTGAAGCTCATGTAACATGATAAAAAAATGGAATGATGTTGTCTTACTAATAATTAGATTTGTATGTTTGTTTTCCTTTTAAACAGGTATATTTCAATATGCAAATCCAATCAGGTGCTACTACTGACTTTTAAAATAGGCTTTGAGAAGAAAGAAAAAAAACAAAAAGGACACTTAAAAGTAGGTACACCTTTAGGAAAAAAAAAAAAAGAAACACATTTAACTACATCAGAATATTTGCTTTCACATAATTTAAAGGAAACCTTATTCTTCATCATTTTGCTGTACTGGAACACAGTGCAGTTTAATCCATTCTTATCTTCTGGTTTGTCATCCTATAAATAATGCTGTCATAGCCAGGATCCATATTCCAGAGGTTGTAGGAGACAACTATAACAGCTAAAGCCAGACCTATCATCAACCACAGAATAATGTTGAAGACGACAGCGTAGTCATAGTTATACTCGTAGGCAAGGTTATATGGATTATCTTCATCGCTCTGTAAAGAGAAAAACAAGTGCATCACCTCAGGGCTACCCCGCGTGCAAAATGCATCCTGGCTGTACCAAAAGCCTGAGCAATCTGAGTAAGAGATGGGCAGTTTTGTGCTCTGATGCTGGGGCACAAGATACAAACGTGATGAGTGACATTAAAGAAATCGGAAGGAATGGGCTGCCAAGAACCAACACTAGACTCAAAAGAGCAAGAAATGGGGAAGAGGCCAGCTGAGGGCCCCTCAGGTGAGCAGAGGGCTGGAGCACATGAAAGATGAGGACTTGGCTCAGCCTGCACTGGAGAAGGCTGGACAGAAAGGGAAGCTAATTACAGCCTTAGCTCCCTACAAGCTATAGAGATATTCTTCCCAGAGGAGCACAGCAAAAGCCTGCGTAGCAATGGTCCTAAACAGCAGCAAGGCAAGTTCCAGTTAAATATTTGGGGTGGGAGGCAGTTTTCCCAGTGAAAGTGGCAAGGATTTGGAACATGTTATTTAGAGGGGCTGTGGAGCTTCCAATCTTCAAAATTTGGAAAACTTGGCTGGAAGAGGCCATACACAGCCCGATCCAACTTCTAAGTTAACTCTGTTTTGAGTAGTGGGTCGGACTGAATGACCCCCAGAGGCCCTTTAACTTAAAATTACAGTTAAATGAAGATCAGGACAAGCCAACCTCTCTGTACCCATACCTAAATCAAAGTCAGTATTCTAGACTTTAAAAATATGCTAAAGGCAAAACATGATGCATTTTCAATACATTTATATTTAAGAGATACATTAAGAGAAATACAAAACTATGTCTCTACTACCTCTGTAGACTGGAGAACGGAACGAGTCTTCCTGTTGAGAGCAGAATTAAATTCTTTTACAGCCACCACCTCTACGACTGCATTTCCGCCATAGAGATTATACATCTCATCCGCAAACTGGAGAAAGAAAAGTAATTTAATATCCACACTGCAGCCAGGAATTAAGAGAGCTTTTTCAGCTAGACACACAAAACCATAACTTGCCAGCTTCAGGATGGAGAAGTCTGTAAAACTTCTTAGTTGTTCATAGTCACTTAGAATTCCAGTGAGAAAGCTCCAACTTACGAGAGACCTTTAAGACTCCTCAGCTATCCTTTGGCAGAGCAAAGGTTATTACTGCTCTTTGGGCTGAACGGGTTCCTACATTGCTTTAGGAAATGCCTGTGGCTATACAGCTCCCCAGTTTCCTATCAGTCAGTTTCAACAAAATATTTAGACTCTCAATCTTGCTCTGGGAAATTATAAACCTAAATATTTGAATCTGAGTTGAAGACTAATATTCTAGAGGGGAATTCTGGTAAAAAAGGTATTTCTACTATTTTTATATATTTGCTTAATTGCAAAGAGGATGAGGAGTATTTAAAGAAAACAGCTACTTGGCTACTTTGCTTTTATGTTCTTCCAGCATGCTTTACAAACTCTCAAACCTGGCTGGTCTCAGTTTTTAATAAAGATTTTATCTAATCATCACCAAAGAAATGCTAAAGAATGCTTTCTTGAGCACACCAATAATGACCAGCCATCGCTTTGGCAGCTTAAAATTTCAGATTTACACTGTTTTAGCAGACCAACCAGTCTATCCTGGAATAAAGACATTTATTTGCCCATTTTGGGGGGCCAGTTTTGATGAAACATACTGGTGGCTTTAAATGTAAGATTTTTGATCAAGTAAAACAGACTTATCAGCTCATAATTATATATGGTTTTAATATATTCCTTCCTGTTAAACAAAACATGTAATCTGTCCTAGAATCATGTCAATGGTTTTCACAAAGGGACAAATTTTGTAACATAAGATTTTATAAATGAACAGCTGCAGTACAAAACCAAACACAGCCCAAACCAATTTCTGCTCACAGCAGAAAACAATCAATCAATAAACCTGGCATTTACTTTCCTGCAGTTAACACATGGTTATACAGAAATCCTACCTTTTGCAGAGATTCTGCAAGAATTTGAGAAGCATCCTTGAATTGCTGGGAATCTTCCCCGTACCGTTTCCCAATCTCTTCCAAGCCAGACAGTTCCAGAGAATACAGGTCTGGTGAGCGGTCTTTGGCCAAGTGCTTGTGTCGAGACAACTTTGGCAACGACATTACAGACAGAAAGAGATTAATTCAAACACAAGTTACCTTAAATACACGTTTTGGCAAAAACAGTTTACTGGGACTAATCCAGCAACCCTTTACAAGGACTGTAAGAAGCTTCTTGCTTAAAAAGCTCAGAATTAAAAGCTCACCTTATTTGCTGGAATATTTTTACTACCGCCACCATTCACACTACCAAAAAAGTCACTCCTACCTGCTCAGGTAAATGTTATAGTGACTTTTTAAAGTCAAACAGTGGACAGAACAAAGAACATCATCTTAACTACCTGTATATTTCTTAATGAAGAACAGAAGCAAAGCCCCAACAAATTCCTCCCTGAGAACTTCCTGTGTCTTCAAGTACAGGGAACAGTAGCTCAGAATTTCCCATTCTCACAAGTTTAACACAAAAGGAACTAGAGTTGAAACTAGAGGAAAGTATCTCATTTACTTCTTTCACTGACAGATTCAAATTTTAATCTGAGCTGATCAAAATTCTGATCCAAATGAAAATGCATTATTTAAACTGATACAACCTACTGATGATAACTGAATATATTTTGGTGCCTGCCTTTTCTATCTTTAATGGTTTTTCTCCTTTTAAATGAGATGTCTGAAGTTGGAGGTGTAAGATGTGAAAAGTGCTTCAAAAATTTTACTTACCAGACTTGCAATATCATGTAGGACTTGTAGTTCAGACAGAAAAAGAAGGTCAACCTAAGGAAAGAAGCACAAAGATAAGAACATTTCCTTCGATGAGTCCCAAGCAAGGGAAGACTCACTTTGCTGCAAGTTTCAGTTTTTTAACGGGGGGAGGGAGGGGAAGCATTAATAAGAATACCAGGAAAAAAAAGGTAGTAGAAATGTATCTGCTGAGTAGGTTTTTTTTTGTTTGTTTTACCTCATTGTTTCTGCTGAGGGAGTTTAGAGGAAGGGAGCTGAGAATGGAGTTATCCTGGAACAAGCGGTTTCGCAGCTGGCGCAGTGTGACAGAAAGATCTTCAAATACTGAGTTTGCCTTTCCCACCATGTACACCCTCTGCGGAAACAGTCATTGTTTTATCAGAAGAGAGGTTTAGGATTTTCAGGTTTTCTTCCAGTCACACATTAACAATCAATCATACTTGCAATCTCTCTTCAATGAAAGATACTGCACATCATGAGCTGGTTTTGTTCCAGTCATGCAAGGGAGGAACAGTCACTATTTAGAGCATCTGAGGTCAGAGATGAAGCAATACTCACCTCCTCGCTAGGGGCCAGCTGCAGGACAACGGGAGTTTCCTCAGAGAACAACGAGTGAATAGCGCTGGCAACACTGTCAAGACTGAAAGGAACAGCCTGAAACACAAAGTCTAGTTAGATTTGGGGATAAAGCATGGCCTAATGATATAAAAGAGAATCTGCTTAGCTACAGCAACCTGGAAAAATAAGACAATGTTTTTTGAAAGTACGGATACTTTCAAAGCAGTAATAACAAATAATAAAAGACAATGAGCAAGACAAGATGTCAACTATATATCTATCAACATGTTACTTACACATGAGTATTGGGGTTTTAAGAAACTGATGTTAGTGTACATTACAATTATAAAATATCTCATTACCAATTATGAGTTTCTCAAAGAAAACTGATGAAGAAAATTTATCAGTAGAAAGACCAATTGCTGAAACACCCAAGAACTGTATAAAATATAGAAAGAACAAAATAAATTATAATAATAGTATAGTGCCATTACTGGCAAGCTAATAAAGCATGTACTTCTGGCTTTTATCTAGAAAGAAGCAAAATGACATATTCCCTTCCCATTCACTAATTAAAGAGTACAATCATTTTTCTATTAATATAAGTATGTAGGCTAGGATAACTTGTATGTGGTGAAAGACAAAATATTCATAAGGTAATTAATGAAAAATGGAAGCTTAGGAATATTAGTTCCTATTAACAGGGAAAAAAAAGGAAAATAGGTACAAAGTACATTTTCAGAACAGAGAGTTACAACTGTGAGTAAGACTGCAGACTTAATTATATGTAAGATTTCCGCAACCTAGGTATGCCTACAGGGTCAGATCTAGACAATCCCAAGTCAGTTTTTGTCCAGAAACTATTTACTGTAGCTGTGCCTGAAACAGCATGCTGTGCTGGACAGCCAGCATAAAAACAGGTTTGCGTCCAGCTCACTTAACCAGGGAACGTGTTTGATTTAAAGCCACATCATGGTCGGATTAAAAGTTGACCCTCGAAAACAGGTTTAGAACTGTCTGATAGCTGACAAACAGATTTCACAGGGAAATCCTTCCCTCACCTTAGGGTGTGTGGTCACTGTTCTATGAAACACTATCAACTACTGTCCTAGATAATGCCAAAAGTTTGAATGAAGTGAGAATATTATTTATCGTTTTATTAATAAGAGCACAGCAGCTATACAGAGCCAAACTGCATGGTAAACTGAATGCCAGTGAAGTTTCCTGACACAGTCAGTGGCAAAATTAACCAGCTAAAAATAAAGAGCAGAGGCTATAACTAAAGAATGGAGGAAAAAAAGTACTAAAAGGCAAATTATTTGAAAAGGAATGTGTCATATTGCACAAAAAAGCAGTTTGATAGAACTGCTGGTACAATATTACAGCAATACAAACTTATGCATATAGTGTATTAGCAGAGGAACATTGAAAATAAACTGCTGTTACCAAAATTTTGTACAGTCACTATGTTCCTGTTAAGATATATGTGGACAAAATTGTATCTCAAATATGAAAAAAATGCCTCAGTGAAGACAGGATGCCTCTGATAGGCAAATGTAATGTTTTGGGATTTGTTTTCTTTCTTTTTGACAGAGATATAGCATAATCTCATTCTGTCTCAAAGAACATATTTAACAGCAAAGTCCTTAAAAAAAAAAAATCAAGGATTGCTTAGAGAAGGAAAAGTATATCCAAAAATCAACAGCATACAAAATGCTATCACATACACAGGTGAAGCAATTCTAATTAGGAATCAACAAGCTAACATGGGAGAGGCAGATTCTCAATGTCTTGGTGCAAACTTGGTGCAAATGCTAAAACTAGACGCCTTTTGAGGAAAGCGTGCTTTGGCCAGACAAGACGTTGAACTTAATGCTGGAGAATTTGGGTGATCTTCAAAGGCCTCTCATCTTGTACAGGAGTCCAACTGGATTGTTTATTATAAATATAGTCTGATCTACAAGACCTAGAAGGGGGTAGGTAAATGTCAAGTGACTAAGTGAGCTTCAAGAACTACAGTGGAAATTCATGAACTTCTACTTACACCACAAGAGTTGCAGAAGTTGTAGGCAGTCCCAAACACAGATACTCACATTCTCAATAGGGTAGGAAACCCCCTTCTCGGGCAACGTCAGCTTGTCTACTCCTTTCACCGTCACCAGCACAGTAGCTCGTGGTCTGTTAAACCAGTCACCCACTCCAAGCCCAGGCCAAGGAAGGTCCTATTATGAAATAGTGTCAAAAAAAAAAAAAAGTGCATTTCACATGAGGAAAAGATAGAGGGGAAACCTCTCCCACCATTACAGCAAAATAATTCTATGAACTAATCTAACACTTATGAATTTGCATAAAATCATACAAAGATGCTTTAGCAATTTACTCTAATTACATACCTGCAAGAACTCAATGAAGACTAGCTGGGTGGCTTATTCAGGCACAAAATGCATCTATTTGCCAGGAGTTGAAACAGAGATTTCTTATATGTGAGATAAAATTGCCCATTTAAGCTTTATGATACTAAGTTACTGAGATTTTAAGCACCACTGATGCTATGATCTGTATCCCACAAAAGAAACAAAAGAAACCCTTTAATTTAATCAATAGGGACAAAAGAGGAAGGAGGGCAGTTTTACTTTAACCTTAGCAGAAGAGGACTCTTGATGGACTGTTTTGAGAATCATTGATTTAATACTGTGAATATTCTAGAATCTCTGCAAATGGCTGCAGTGTCCATTTATTTTAGAGCATGGAAAAGGTGGGGATCCACCTCTCTTGTCCCCGTCAGAAGAACGGCCCAGCCTGCAGCCGCAAGGAGCTGGCCGCAGACAGGCACAGTTAGAGGCACCTGGCCATTAAGCATTCAGGCACTGCTTTAAGAGTCACTCCTCAACCCTTGTGAGGCCTCAGCAAGAAATTCAGTGGGCAAGTTGAAATCCGTCCAGACTGCCCTGCTTTAAACATCGCTAAACTCTGTTCAGACACCTAACCTGGGACAGAAAATAGATTTGCAAATGGTTTAGATGACTTCCCAAACACCTATTTTACTGGTTCTTAGTAACTGCTCAGCAGAAAAATTGCTGACCTTTCACAATTCCTGATGACCCGAAACACTCCTGTTCTTCAGAGTGCCTGAGAGAGGAGCGCTATGGATTACTTCACAGGCAAGAAGGGACAGCAGTTTCTGCTGTTCTAAACGATGACACATGAGGAGGGATATGACACGTGGTCTTTTCCAACCATAGTCGTTCTATGGTTCTGTGTAACTGAGTCCCAGAGCTTCTCAAGCACATCCCCCAACTCTATGCTTGGAAATCACACTTTGGCAAGTCACCCATGCGTCAAGACAAAAGGGAAGTTTTTTCAAATATATTCCAACACATGACAAAGACTTGCATGCCAAGTAAGATGCTCTGTGCCAAAAATCAAGACCTGAAACATACATCTTCAACAGAAAAGCCCATGGATAATGCAGCTACATCAGGGATCCTCTCGCCAGGAAGCGGCCAACCTCCATCTCGAAAAACCACTGACTGGGGTGATCGCAGGACACTAAATTCATCGCCCCACACACCTAAAAACAAACGAAAAATGTCATTTTCTTTTAGAAACTTTTCCTTGCAGCACAGAAACAGAATACATTTAATTCATTTTTCATCTCTCTCTCACTTCACAAGTAATGAGAACCTTTCATTTTAACGCACTGAAATACATGGCAAGGTTTTTCATACAGTAGTGAATAACATATGGACAAATCCACATTACCACAGCAAGGCAATTATTAAAACAACAGCAGAGAGTACTTCTACACACTGAAAAACTGCTTGCAAACTGCAGGACAGCTCAGCTGTGGCAAAGCTAGTCTCACTAGCACCAGGCAGCCTTCAATAAACCCTTAGCTGCCCCACAGCTACAGTCTAGCACAGCACGCTCTGCTTCCAGGGCTGCTTGAACATAGACAACAGCCAGAGCCACCACATCCAGAGGCATCAGCAGGAAGCAGCCAGCAACAAGCTGCCTGCTGCAGAATGGCTCCGGTGCCGCCGCGCTGCTACTCAGGCAGGGCAACGAGAGAGGGTTCTCTCCCTCGGACACAACACTGGGCCTCAGCTGATTTTTTTAGGATCCTCCTTATTTCCCCCACTACCTTGAATAGCAAAGTTGACTAAAAGAGTATTTTTAAGTATATTATGAAGACTATAATTTATTACTAAAGACAAAAAAGGACCTCATGAAAATTAGAGATCTAACAAAGACTTATTTCAACTTACCAGCCCATTGTAAAGTCACTGAAGAAGAACTGAAGTTGTGTGTATAAACAAACTTCTATCAGTCTTACAAAATTGAATGTTAAAAGACAATTTGTGCAAATTTTTATGTAAGCAGACACAACCACAATGCAGAAATAATCCTTAGTGAAGCATCTACATAGGTTTCCACCAGAAAACTAGTCATAAGGTAACTAAACCTTAGCTACCACTCCAAGGAAACAGTTTTCCAGGGTACCAGCAAACCTAGAGGCTGTTTACAAAAATGCAGTAATAAACACACATACTGACCAGCAGTAATCTTTTAACTGATCTGACCTTGAAAATGCTCACCGTTTCAGAGCCTAGGTCATGATCACGCATACAAATGTTGACTGTAAATTTGAATTATGTTACGATAAACATACTAAAAGAACAAAGTGCTGTGATGCAGGTTGGGGAAGGGTGGCAAAACAGGGAACAAGCCATATCAACCGCTGTACATGGAACAGATTGAGGCTGTTGTTTTAAATTGCTATCTATTCATTGGATGGTGTGCTATCAAATTTAATAGCCTAGCATCCATATTTTGAAGGGCAGAAATGTTTCCAGATCAATTTGCTTAGGAAATAGTTTTTAAAAAATAGTTATAAATACTTTTGTCAGTCCCTTTGACTTGGCACATCGCTTTAATTCTCCACATGGCTGCAAGGCAGACCAGTGCTCTTCTGAGACCAAGCTGCACTGGGTGTATGTCAGAGATTTCCTCCCTTTAACTCGTTTTTTCTTTACAAGGCTCACTCAAGATTTCATTGAGAAAAACTGAATCTGAAAATAAGTACGTACATTTTCCTCAGACACGCTATAATTGCTCGACTATAATATCATGCCAGGCTATATAGCAAGTGAGGTCTGGAAAATAAATTCACTAATGCAATTTAACCAGTATCCAGCTTCCTACCAACCTACAGAAAATATAATCAAATTTCTGCAGACCTTACTGACACCAGGAGGATTTTAGCTCTCAAGTACCTTTGTGAACCAGGACTGAAGAACTGGGATAGACTGAATGAAAAGCATTTACAATAATAACGGTCTGGCAGATAATAAGGCCCAGCCGAATGACAGGAAGCAGCTGGGCAGACCATAGAATCCGCACCTGGCAACAAAGCCACCTCCAGCTTTCCAGGCCTTCCCATACACTCGCCTTTGGGGGAGGGGGAAGGGGGGAGCTCCTCCTAGAGCTTCTGGAGCAAGCGGGGGGGGGGGGGGGGGCGCGCGGGGCAG